GTCGGATCCTTCAGCACTTGTACCAAGAAGTTATCATCAAGATTCTCCAAAAAACTTCCTCGATTGCATGTGTACTGCCATATTGGTCTCCCAACAGATGTCAGGGTGATTAAAGTCCCCCATGAGAATCAGGCCCTGATATTTGGAAGCTTCTCTCAGTTGTCCAAAGAAAGCCACATCTACCTCATCCACCTGATTCGATGGCCTGTAGTAGACACCAACCACAACATCACTGCTATTGTTTGTACCTCTAAATTTAACCCATAGACTCTCATTAGGTTTCTCTGCCTCTATATACTGGAGTTCTGAGCAATCATAGTGCTCTCTTACATATAGTGCTACTCCTCCTTTTCTCCCCTGCCTGTTCTTCCTGAACAGTTTATATCCTTCCATGACAGCGCTCCAGTCATGCGAGTCATCCCACCAAATCTCTGTTATCCCAATTAAATCATATTTCTTGGACTGGGCCAGGGCCTCTAGTTCTTCCTGTTTGTTGCCCAGGCTTCTCACAGTGTACAAACACCTCAGATAACCAGTTGATCTCCCTATCTTTTCCATTCGAATCAGGGGTCCTCCTTTCTTGCTTGTTCCTCTTTGCATTTTCTTCCGGTATCCGACTGTCCCACTCCCCTCAGGGTTTTGGTCACCGTCCCCTAATGAACCTAGTTTAAAGCCCTCCTCACTAGGTTTGCAAGCCTGCCCACAAAGATGCTCCTTCCTCTCTTGGTTAGGCTGATCCCATCTCTTACTAACAAACAATCTCTGTGCCTAGAACAGGGTCCCATGGTCGAAGAAACCAAAGCCCTCTCTGCGACACCACCTGCGCAACCACGCATTTACTTCCTCTATTCGACGATCCCTACCCAGTCCTTTCCCCTTAACAGGGAGGATGGATGAGTACACCACTTGTGCTCCGAATTCTTTTATTCTTCTTCCCAGTGCTACATAATCCGCAGTGACCCGCTCAACGTCATTCTTGGCCATATCGTTAGTTCCCACATGGAGAAGCAGGATGGGGTAGCGATCCGAAGGTTTGATCAGTTTTGTAATCCTCTCAGTCAGATCTCGAATTCGAGCTCCCGGTAAGCAGCACGCCTCTCAAGATTCCAGGTCTGGATGGCAGATGGATGACTCAGTCCCTCTTAGGAGGGAGTCCCTGACCACCACCACTTGTTCTCTTCTTTTGGGGGTGGTGGTCATGGAACCCCCATCCCTAGGACTACACATCCCATGTCTTCCAGTAGATGGTGTTCCTTTCTAGTTTCTTCCTTTGGAGGTCCCTTCCAAAGCATTCACCACCGCAGAGCCTGTGGAGGGAGCCTGAAAGTGATTACTTACCTCTATAGCATTTGGGGATTCCTGTGCTGGCCTTTTTCCCCTTCCAGAAGTTACATGCTGCGAGTTCTCTTCCTGCCCTCTCTGGCTCTTCCGCCTGCCGTGCTTGCAGGATTAAACGCTGTCATCTATCGAGGAAGTCTTCATCTTCTCTGATCGAGCAGAGGGTCGACACTTGGGCCTCCAGTCCTCTAATTTTTTCTTCCAAAATGGCAACCAGCTTGCACTTAGTGCAGATTAAATCTGTTCTTTCTTCTGGGAGGAAGACAAACATGGCACACGCTGTGCAGGTAACAACAGCAAACCTATCACCATCCATATCTGCTGTCCTGTTCGCAAGCTCCTTGGTCACTTGCTCACTGCTTTAGAAAGCCCTGGAGTGCCTGAAAGTCCCTCTCCTTACCAAGGCTCAGCCAATCAACAGAGGCTTCTAAAATTCAAACTTCAATTAGACGCCAATAGTTTCCACCTGCCAGTCACAGCACACATTCCGTGAAGGGGAGGTGGAGGGGGAAAAGGAAGGGTGGGAAAAAAGCCTCACTCACAAACATAAGCTCAGCACCCAGCAAGAAAGCCACAAACACAACACACACTGCAGACAGCCACTTTCCTCAAGAGTCCTGTATCTACTTCCCATTTACCTGGAGAACTCCCTCTCTAAACTCCCTGTTAGCACACACCTGTTTGCAATATGTCACTTCTCATCTGCTTATTTACAGCAAGACTGCACCAAGCTGCAGGATCCTCAAACACAATTCCCAGCTGCTGTGCCTATATTCTAGCTCTCATCTCCTGCCATTATGTAACCTGTGCTTAAATCCTGCCATGCACTGGTATTCTTTATGGTGTTCATTATTAAGCAGTTCCTGACTATGTACTTGGACACATATCTACTTTTACACAGCCTGAATATGGCACAAAAAGGGCAGGCATCTGGAAGTGCCAGTATTCAGACTTTGTATGCTGTCGGCAAGAGCTAGGCATTACACAACTGGTAGACTGTGACTCCATACGGTAGCTACCAAGGCAGCAACAAAGAATACAAAAAACTAGAAAGAGAAAGCAAACTGAAGAGGATGATTCGTGCCAAGTTCAGTTTATAGTGAAAGCTACACAGCATGTTTTTTTGCACTGAAATATCAATTCAGGTTGGATCTTTCTGGTCCAACACCCTCGGGACCTAACTGTTCCAAACGAGGGAATTTGCCAGACCAGAGGAGGTCCCCTGCTACCCGCTCCCCAGACCATCTCCCTCCCCATTGCTAGCCCCATTCTCCCCCTCCCTCACCGTGCTGCCATGACCCAGGCAGCCTAGACTGCCCTGGCCCTAGTCCCATGATCAGGGCTGCCACATCCCTGGCCCCACTATTGGGGCTACCACGGCTGCTGCATCTCCAGCTCCAGCCCCGCTACCGCAGCTGCCGAGACTGCCATGTCCCCAGCCCTGCTCCTGGGGCTCCTTGCTGTGCTACTGGGGCTCCGGCGCTGGTCCCAACCCCAACCCCATTGAGCTCTGAGCCACCAGCCCTCTTGCCACTGGGGCTTCCAGCCAGGAGTCCCTGGTCCAGGAACATACATGATCCTTCGGGACCACGCATGTTGCCAGATGAGGGAGTCCCATTTTGGGAGGTCCAAGCTGTAGTATATTTTAAATACCTGGACAGTGATACTTTCTGGGATGTCCTAGCTCTAAGATAGATTATAGAAGACCAATATTTATTACAGAAGCCAGTTTTTTCCCCTCTTATTGAAAGACAAATGCTTTGTGAAAAAAATTCAGAAAATCAGTCACGTTACCAAAAAGCACCTACAATTTAAGCCCTTTTATACATCTGTTCTATGGCTGTACTGGCTGCTTTCCAATCAGGCCCCAACTTGGCTGAGGTGTCTAGATGCTATTGAAATATAAATGATGAGGCTAATAATACTAAAAGTCTTATTTTCCCCTCGCTGCCTCGCAGGACTGGCTATCACCATAATCCGTGTGTGTGTGGTTTTCTCAGTTCTGCTCATCTTTCTCCATCTGAGAACATTACCTGGTTTCCCAGTTTAGGGCCTGATTTAGAACCTACTGAAACCAGAAAGGCAGGCTCCCAGTGACTTCAGAGGGCTTTGCATCAGGGCCAGAGAGAGCAGCAGAACTGAGTCATTTAACTAAATGCAACGACACAATACAAATAAAGCCACCCACCCCCACCACATGCAAGAGAGGTTCAAATACAAGGTTCAGAGTTTCAAAATGCTCAGTATTGTTAGATTAATTCTACTTCCCCAGCAGTCAGTGGGAATCTGGCTACCCTGCAGCTGGGAATGAGATTCTCTGCCTGGGTCTGCAGGCTCTTGCTAGCAGGACGCATGCCAATGCACTAAAAAGTGAGGAGTAGAAATTGCAGCTCAGGCTGCAGCTTAAGCTATTGAGCGGGGGAGGGGAGATGCGTGTAGGTATGTACCCATAATCCAATTACAGCCCACACCACAATATCAAAGCAAGTGTATACGCAACTATTTGTGTCATACCGGCATGAGCCCCACTAGCACAAGTCAGGCTTGTTCCCAGCTGCTGCGCTGCAGGAATTTTATCCTTCACTTCAATGGAAGTAAAATTTGTCTGATACGGAGTGCCTTTGAAAATCCCACCCAAACAGGTGAATCAGTTTGTAGAGCCTTGTACGAGGGTCTTCAGTAACTGATAAAGTTTTCAAACAAAAAGTCATTGAGTTTAACTTTTTAATAATTGATTTGATTTTAAATCCTCCAACAGAAATAAAAATAGAAAAACAAGAAATTCTTTAAAATGTATTTTCAGTTGTGCTATCCACTGAGACTCGCTTCCAGGTCATCCACACGAGCAGCACAGACTGCAGTTAGCAAGTGTGAGCATCAAATATACTGGCCGGCCAAAAGTCAAGTGATGAGTAATGGCAACATTGATCAAAGGCGATTTTTGCCACCAGAAAGCATTTCCACAGCTTAACATTTTTAGTCACCATTAATATTAATGACTAGAGATCAATTTTTCCAAGGCATGAAAGTGCACTAGGCTAGGCCAAACACACACCTAAAATCACTAAAAACAGAAGTCAGAAACAAGAAGCCCTACTGTCATTCTACTAGTAACACTGCATTCTTGCAGTGTATTGCTAGACCACACCTTTTATTCTTGTGCATACCTGTTGAGGAATTCCTGAAAAGAAGAGAACAGAAGATAATTTATTGCACTGAAATCCTGGTCAGTTTCATTTAAATGGAACTGCAAAAACACCAATTCCTTTTTCTTCACATCTCGAGGTCCTTGGACAATCAAAGCATGTTTCTATAGAAATAGAAAAAAAATTGTTGATGGAACTATAAAAAACGTAAAGGAATTCTCATTTCCTGTCAGTGAATTTGCCATGTGTCACTAATGCATGACAAAAACCTAGTGAACATAGAGTTTTTCATGTGTTGGGTAAGTACACATCAATTAAGCTATCCAGGGAGAATGCCAGAGCATACTTAAATTTCTACTTGCTGATTAAGGGTGTACATACTCAGCAAAGTGAAGGTGTGATCATGGTACAGATACCATACACATGATAGCTTTAATTTTGCTAACATGGGTCAAGCAGCAGCATAAATGTGGTAACATGGGCCAGCAAACCAAGCATGCACTTTAGGTCTCTGGAAGGCTCGCCCATGCTGAAGCCTAAGCCACTGTGTCCAGGCTGTTTTTCTTGTCCAAACTAGCTGAATTAAAGCTAACTCAGGTATGCCTATCCATGCTATGATCACACCTTCACTTTGCAACATAGATGTGGAAGTTCTTTGAATTCTTTAAATCAAGGTTAGATGTCTTTTTAAAAGCTCTACTTTCATTACAGTCATTAGACATGATGCAGAAGTTACAGGGTGAAGTTCTATGATCTATGTTGCATAGGAGATCAGGTTATATTATTACAATCCCTTCGGACCTTAGTATCTGTGAATCTATAATTTTTAGCTCTTAGAAGTCTGGAAGTAGGTCTACACTTCAAGCTGGAGGTGCGGGTCTCAGTTCAAGGAGCCATACCTGTGCTAAAACAACAGGGAGTTTTGTGGCACTTTAAAGACTAACAAATTTATTTGGGCATAAGCTTTCACAGGTTGGAACCCACTTCATCAGATGTATCTGACGAACCCCAATTTTAGCAGAGAAAACATAATATTGTATGTTAAGTTCCATACCAGACAGCATGAACAATATAGAGCCCATATCTTGCAATTTGTTGCTTGCAGAAGAATTCCCATAGTGGTCTGATAGCATGGAGCAGTGGTCACCAACCAGTAGATAGGGTTCTACTGGTAGATCTTGAAGCCTCTGACAGGTGATCTTGACTGGTTTGGCCAAGAGGCACTTCAGCTGCCACTGCGCAGCTTCTGCCCTTTGCCTTGGAACTGCCTCCCCCTGGCTGTGCAGAGCAGGGAAGGGGGGCGGGTGATGTAAGGGAGCCCCCTCCCACCCTGTATTCTGTCTCCACAGAACGGAGTACCACAGGGCTTTTGAGAGTGGTGCAGGGCCAAGCCTGCCTTAGCCCCACTGCACCCCAGGCAGAAGCCAACTGAGGTAAGCAGTGTCCAGATGGAGCCAGCTCCAAATCCCTGCCCCAATTATGTACCTCCCTAAGTCCCTGCCCTAGCCCTGAGACCCATGGATCCAAACTCCCTCCCAGAGCCTGCAACCTGAAACCCCTCCTGCACCCCAATTCCCTGCCCCAGGCTTAGCTCAGAGCCCTGCTATTACTCCAAAATCTTTAGCCCAAGGCCAGATCCTATATCCCCACCCTCTGCCCCTGCCTGAAAGGAAAGGTAGATGGGGAGGGAGGGAGGATGTAGTGAACAGGGGCAGAGCCTTGAAAAAGAGACCTGAAGGAGACAGGGCAAGGGTATTTGGGTTTGAGGTGGATCCTGGATTGCACTTAAATTCAAAAAGTGATCTTGTGCTTAAAAAGGTTGGAGACCACTGGCATTGAGTCAAATGCAAGATCAGAGAATACAGAATCATCAAGATTCTTAAAAAGTATCTAATACGTGCAACAGAAAATACAGGATTTTAGCACACTGAAGCAAGCAATCATAACAAAGACAGAGAGAGAACACATGACAGTTGAACCCAACATATTTATTTAAGAGCAAAGGCTCCCCAGAAAGAAGTGGAAAGCCCATGGGAAAAGTAAAGAAGTGGAAAAATGGTTAGCATGATGTAGTGTTTACATAGATTGCTTTAAAAAAAAGTAAATTAACATGTAAAACAATTTTACACTCCAACTGCATATTACAGCATGTTTTTAAATAAAAATTATCTAAATATGATCAAAAATTGTTCTTATACATGCAGCAAATTAGAGTGGACTACAACTCAATTCCTTTTCACAATGAGCATCATCGATCTTGGTTCACTTGATATTCAGTGTGCCTTCCTAATTCTAATCAGTTTAGTTAGGTGCCAAATTCACATGAAGATTCCTGCAAGTTTGGTAAATATAACATCATAATATAGTATGTAATCCACATATGGAATATGTACAAAGGGAATATAAGAACCAATCTTCCTCCAACTGAAAGTCAGTGGAAAAATCTTCTCCTGCTTTCAACTGAATTAGGATTCAACAAATTGAATTTCGCTCACAATCTAACCTTACATGCCAGTTTTGATTTTATAAGAAATGAACCAAAAATTGCACTGTCAAAAATATCTATTCTGTTCCATTCCTTTCATATTCTTATGACACTCACATTGATCAGCTATCTGAGCAGCTACAATAAAATAAGCCAATTGATGTCTTTCACAGTGGTTCCTGGTTACAGTATAGACTGTTACTTTAGAATGCTGAAGTGTACAAAAATATTGCATCCAGTGAACTCTGTTCCTTTGTCTTTTTAATTATTACCATGGTTTGATTAGTAAAAGGATCTGTGTAGTTGATTCTCTGAGTGGTGCACTCAATTTCTCCTGGATGACCTGGGTTTATCAGAGGTGGAATGTGATCATAGTAATGATGCTTGCAGCTAAGCAGCTGAGCCTTGCCTGGGTAAAGTGCAATACCTGTTTTGGGGGGAAAAAGTTAGAAGACATGTAAATAAGAGAGTTGATTTTCTTGCCAAAGTAAGTGGATTGTTATGCTAGGATTTAATCCTGCAAGGTACTGAGCTCCCAGACCCAGCAAAACATTTCACATTCACAAATGCTTAAATGCTCTGCTGGATAAGGCTCAGACTGATCCCTGAGCAGCAGCTTCCAAATAAAACTAAAATAACAATAAAACCCAGCCTTGCCTGTTTCTCTTTCAGAGCCTGATCCAAAGCCCACAGAAGCCAACAGGAATCTTTTCATTAACCTCACAGAGTGCAGGATCAGGCCCAAAAAAGCACTTAAACATGTGGGTAGCCCTATTGAAGTCAATGGAACTCCTCAAATACTTAAGAGGATTAACTGTTTTACTGGATCAAGGCCTTAAACCATGACCTCTCTGAAATCACTGGCTGACAAAATCTTCTTATGTCATCAAACAGACATTACGATTACTAAATACTGTATCAGGCTAAATCAAAAATATAAAACATGTCCACAGATTATCCTCTCTTGTCCCTTGTGTTATCAGGCAGGCAAGCTATTTTTCCCAGCGATGCTACAATTAATATATTTAGCATAAAGTACAATAATGCTTAAATCCAATAGTTGTATAGAAACACGTGAAGTTTTTTTCTTGCTGCCCTCTCATGACAACTAACAAAGCTGTAATATCACATTTAGATTTGCTTGAAAATAATACAGATCAACTACAAAAAAAAAAAAGGAAGTTATGCTACATGTGGCAAATGGCCATATGATTTATAAACCTAAATCAATTATTAAAATAACCCATATGCCCTCACATAAAAAGTCAAAAAAGGCAGAGCAGAGCATCTAAAATATATTTGAGTGATCTCTACTGTTCCATACTTGGAAAGGAAAAATCTGGTCAGGTTTAAAACAAAAGAGTTAAAAGTAAATTCAGGTTCTACAGCTGACTCTGGGCCTACTATTTTTGTGGTTTCAGGTGTTTTAAAATTTTCTTTTAATAACTTTTTGTCCTTTATCACTGTGTGAAAGATTCACACAAACCATAAGGAAAGCAGACAAAAGCCCTGATATTACAATCAGATCCATGGGGGTATGAGCTTGTGAATGCCTTTCCCCACAAAGATGATTGGGACTTTACTACAGAGGAAATAATTAAATTAACAATACACAGAATGCTGACAAGTGCATACAGTATAGCTGAAAAAATCCAAACCCAAATATTTTCTCTCTAAACTTTTGGCAATGGTCACTGAGGGATTACTCCTAACAAGGGTAGCTGGTAAAAATTTCAGACGAAAGTTGATATTTTTTCAGTTGACGGTGTTCCTTTGAGTAAGTCGCTGCTAATGCCGCTTTGCACGGAATGCTTGCACGCGCACATGCACGCACACACACACCCTACTCCAAAGAATAAAAAGGTCACCAAATAACTAACATATGATGCTCTGATGTTGCATTGTGATATTGGCATTACCTACTGATGCAATGCCACAATGTAAATATTGCAGTGCAACAGCAGAGTATCACAGCTTGATGATTTTGTGGCAGCCTATAATATCCTTTGACTACCATTAGCAGCTAGTACTTCAAGAGGCAGGAATCATGGCAGCATCAGATATGCTGTCTTGGCTAGATTAAGTAGTTTAAGGAGCTCTCCTCTGGTCAATGCTCTTCTCACTCCCAAGAGCTCATTCAAGCCTAAGGACTCTGCAAAAATGCCTCATACTATTAATTTATATGCTGAGATTCAGATAATCTGCCTCATAACAGCAGAGTGAAGGTAATGAAGCTGCCACCACTGTGGGTTATACAAAAAAAAGAAGCAAAGCCCCAAAGCACTTTTTGCATTGCTTGGACCAACACAAGAGTAAACAGAACCAGCAATTATTACATGCAAAATACTGTCAGTAACACATGCAAAGATTTGAAAGACATTTTGAGATTTTACCACTGAGATTTATTTCAAGACTTACCAGGTGCATCATACAAGGGCACCTCCTTGTAGGAGACAGACATCACTGGGTGTTTGAGTTTTTCCCTGAAGTCAGTGATAGTTTGGTAGACAAGGAATACAGCTACAGCCATAAGCAGCAGATAAATGAAGAGGAGAATTACTGAAAAGACATTCTTTAGGCAGGTCTTGCTGAAACGCACAGAAGGGCTACTGGTACCTGATTCACTATCTAGGACTGAACAAAATACAGGATTAAAATTTGTAAGTTTATTTACTTAGTCTTTCACATTGAATCACGCAGAGTGTTAATTTCAAGATGAACTTTTTAAAATGAGAGGGAACAATAGGCTTAGTCTGATTTAAAATGCAAGAACAAGTAATGTTTTTTGACAAGTAAACAGTCAGCTGTTACTTCCCAAGAACATGAGAAATAATCAGTAGTTCTGTCTGGTTTTACCTCTTGTATTATGCATTGTGCCTAGGCATACAATAGTTAGGAAAAAATACATTTAAAGAGGCCAGGTCAGCTGAAAAAGTCAGCGTTCACAGTGAAAAATCCCCTGATGAAGCCTTTCTTTCCACAGAATGAAAGACTCATCTCTGCCAAGTCTGAACCAACTGATCATGACCCATTTTAACCTATGTATCACCACAGGTTTGCAGTACTGTAATGCTGTTTAGTGGTTGGCTAACTGCAGTGTGCATGAACCAAGTTATGTCAATTATATCTTATCCTTACATTTTCAAAGACTAAACTCTAACAACTAACACCGTATGGACTAGAGATGTGAGCACGTCGCTGTGTACACGGTTAACCAACGAGCCTGGGCTCTTTAGTTAATGTGCACGATAACACGCAGTCTCCCCACCCCCTGCACTGCCTTGGGAGGGGGAGGCAGGAGCTGGCATGTGCGGGGAGCCAGCTTTCAAGCCTGCTCCCTGCATACCAACTCCCATGAAGCTACTCTCCCACCGCTGCCTCCAGCACGTGTAAACACACATTCACCGAAATAAACATATTTTAATATCCCTACTGTGTACATTATATAGTTACACATGAGAAAGATTCTAATTAACTCTAGAAAAAAATCTGAAGTTATCCTCACTTTCACTATATTTATCAACAAGATGGGTCATATTCTTCTGAGTACTTTAAATCAGCCTCCCCTGGTATATGTGAACACTAGATAACACTAAATATTGGTTAATTGAATAGTCGATTAACCTCATGAATTCTTATCGGTTACTCAACTATTCTATAGTTCCCACGGGCAGAGCTAGCAGCCAGTGTGTGCTGGCCTCATTCCCAAAGAGCCCCCTGCTGCTCCACGCCAGGTGGGAGCCGGCCTGTGAGGGGAGCCAGTTTAAAAACCAGTTCCCTTGACGGACTGGCCGCCTGTCACCCCGCGCTGCTGTCCAGGGTGGGGGCTGAATTCCTGGACCCAGCATGAGCTGGAACTGAGCCAGGCTGCCTATTCACCTGGCTCCTAATACACTTTAAATGCAGAGCTGCAACATGGGTAGGTCTCAGACCTGGTGCTGAGTCACGCTGCTGATAGCTGGCTGGCCAGCTAAAAAATGTACTGGTGGTTGGTGGGGAGGAAATGTGTGTAGTCTATAGCATTGACCTATAAGCTTTTGCTTATCGGTTAATCGATTACACAATTACATCTCTAGTGCACACCCCTACCACCACTTGCCTGAACAATTTTTTAGAACCAACACTTGACTTACACGCAAAGGAGTTTAACTATGTGCACTATACAGTTGCACACATAAATGAGTGTTAAAAATGGCACATGCAAGAGTTGGTGGCAATATTTTGACAATTTGGTTGTTTACCAGGGCGGGGCAAAATAGGGCTCACAAACCGTTCCAGCCCACCAAGCCACCGGATCTGGCTCATGGACACACCAGGGAGCCTCAGGCAGACTCCCTGCTTGCCGTGGTCTCCCTCCCACATGCCACTCAGAAAAGCAGGTACATTTGTGTTTCTCAGCTGTGAGCTGGGGGAAGGTTTCAAGCACTGCCCCCACTCCCAGCAAAACCCCACTGGCCAGGAACCGGCCAGTGGGAGCTGCCCATTTGAAAACCAGGCAGTGCACAAAGCACCACTCCCTCCTCCCCTCGGGTTCTTATTCACAGATGCACATGACTCCTGCAGCCTGTGCAGGGATGGGGCAAGCAGGGAGGCTCCCTGAGAACCCTGCTAGGTTACTGGCCAGGAGTCACCCAAGTAAGTTTCCTAGCTATAGCCTGCTTCTGGCAACCCAGCCCCTCGCTCCCCCAACTCTTTGCCCCCTGACTCCTGCCCCCTTACCTCACATAAGCCAAACTCTCTGCCTCCCTCTTGAGCCCATACCCCCACCCAGATCCAGCACCCCAACCTGCTGCCACAGCTCACAATCCTTTAGCAAATAAATATGCACGCATACATGTCCACATCATTGTGATTTAATTTATTTTGGGTTTTTCTGTCAATACACTATTTTTTTATTGTTTATCTATTCTTTATTGGATCTAAACAAAATAGAAACAAAAATAAGGTGCTTTGCATGTTTTTGGGGTGGTTTTTTTTAAGATTGCTAGTTAGTCTGCTACTATGAAAAGTGATATCTGTTTTCACAGCAGACTTACTCAGCAAGCTGGGGGACAAATCAAGCCCTGGATGAGGAGGTGGGTAAGGAGGGAGGAAGGCCAGGGCAATAGGGATCTGAAGGAGACAGTGAGGATTGATGTGATGGCAGGGAGCGAGTTAAAGGATGGCGCCCCAAACCCTGAGACTGGGGAGAGATGTACAAAACCCACTGCCACATGGCCAGAGCCTGCCGTCCATTACCTCAAAGCAGAAGCCCAAATCCCACCACCCCAGGAAGGATGTGAACTCTCGCCCTTCCAGAACCACAAACACTGTAGGAGAAGCAGCCAGAGAAAGGGCCAACCCTTGCAGGTAGCCTCAGGAGAGGAGTTGCTGCTTTGCCATCCTCTCCCCTAATCATGGCCCATGAGGCTGTGGCTGAAAAAAAAGCCCCGGTAGCTGTATTAAAAAACCACTTCACCAGGGCCTTTCCTGCACAAGAAAATGGCACCAATTAACCTTGCACTGTTTTTTAAAACTAGTGCAAAAGGGAGTATGGACACTGAGGCCCGGTCTACACTAGGCATTTACACCGAATTTAGCCACCTAAGGTTGATTTTCTAAACGATGTGTCCAACTTCCCAAGCCTGTCTCATTGACCTTAAAGGCCACTGAAATCAATGTTGGGTACTCCTGATTTCACGAAGCATAATGCTATTCCGGACCTTTCCCGGTTGAGTTTACAACAGTGTAGATGCAGAGTTGGTTAAAGTCAATGTTATTTGCCTCCGGGAGGCATCCCACAATGCCCCACTCTGGCCAGAACATGTGCCTCTACTGCTTTCCAAGAAAATAGAAAAAGCCCTGGAAAAGTTTGAATTTCATTTCCCGGGTGGCCAGCATTGTGAGCACACCTCAGAGCAGGCAGCACACTTGAGCAGCACACATGGCCATGACTTCCAATACTTCATGTACCATGAGCTCCAGTTCCCAGGGGCACAGAAAAGTGCCAGTGTGGAGTGTCAGGAGATCCTGGACCTCATCAAGGCATGGGGACAGGAATCCATTCTGTCCAAGCTCCAAACAAGCAAAAAAACATGGACATTTATGCAAAGATCGCAAATTGCCTGGTGGCCAAAAGATACTTGAGGGACGCCCAGTAATGCAGAGTGAAAATAAAGGAGCTGAGGCAGTTGTCCCACAAGACAAAGAAGGGGAACGGATCATCTGGAGCATCACCACAAACATGCTGGTTCTATGAGCAGCTGGATGCTATTTTAGAGGGGACTCAACCCGCTTCCCAAGCCTGACTGTGGAGTCCAATCAAGACACTCCTGGCATCAGAATGGAGGACAGCACGGTGGCAGAGGGATAGGAGAAGTTGGAGAATGTCTAGATGGTGACTGGCAAGAGCCAAGAGCTTTTTATTATGTTGGAGCCAGTCTCCTCCTCCCAGGACATCTCCCAGGTGATCACAGATCCTGAGGAGGGCACTTCTGGTGAGTTCACAATTTTTTGCTTACTACAAGCGGGTTAAGGCAATTGGGTGTGATGTGCTATGTGCTCTGTGCATACATAACGCGAAGGGCCTGCAACAGCTTGTTAATATGTCTGCAGATGGAGTGGGAGTCCTCCCTGCACAGTTCCATGAAGTGTTCAGTGAGGAACTCTTTGATGTTTCTCACAAGGTTTTTGGGCAGGCCAGCCTTATTCCATCCTCTACAATAGGACACCTTCCCATGCCAAGCCAGCAGTAAATGGTCTGACATCATTGAACCACAAAGCATTGCAGCATAAGGCCCAGGTTTCTGGCCACATTCAGTCAGCATCGTGCCTTGACAGGCCCCTTACTATCCTGTTTCCACACAAGTCCAGAAGTTCCCTTGATAACTCTGCTGTGTACCTGCTATACAGTGAACGCTTTAAAGCAAAACTTTGGCTTTGTACAGAAACCTCTCCACTGTCTTAATGGAGACCTTTGCTGTACATTAACAGATTGGGGTAGATTTAACACAAGGTATCTTCTGTAATCTGTGCTCTTGTAACTTTTTGTTACAGTGGGAACAGCAGCCAGCTCACTGTGTACTCCTCCGGCTCTACCAGCTGTCTGCCTGGTGCAGATCCGCAGGTGAAAACAGCCAAGGGAAGAAAAGTTCAAGGAGCAAATGGACTGCATGAATACACTCCTGGAGGAGATGTGCACTGAGTGCTAGGACATGGTCGCGGAATGGCAGGAGAGAAGAATGTGCAGGGAGTTGCAGACCAGGCAACAGGGCGGTATCTTTGCCTCCCGGATGACAGTAATGGAGAGCCTGATTGTGTGTCTGGAGAACACTTCCCCCTCCAAGAACTCCCTCCACCCCATGCAAAATAACTTTTCCTCCTCCCCCAGCTCCATAGCCTCCATCCCAAGGGGCTTCGGGACAGCAGGTGACTCAAGGACAGCCTTAATCTCCAGGACCTCAGGAGGCAGAAGTCTGTCCTTCACACATTTCTGAGCCCCCTCTCCTTTTCAGGTTCCCACCATGGATGTCTTTTATTTTCCTGCAGTATCCCCTAAATAAAAAGGCATGATTTCTAAACAACAGGCTCTTTATTGCTTGTACTATAGGGATGGGGTGGGGATTATAGGCAAACACAGTGAATGCCGGGGTACC